TATTTCGTAGTGAGTTACTAAAAGCTCGGACATATCATACATTATCGCCCGACATGGGAATCGACAAAAAAAAAAACGAGCAATACATCTTTTAGCATCACAAGTGCACGGTTCTTGTAGGTTGCGAGTGAAATGATGTCGCCCCGACTTGCAAGTTTGGGCGACTAGCTGGCCAGTAGGGTGGAAAAGTTTTTAACTTCAGAATTTACGGACTGACGCGAGGAAAAAAGTTTCAGCACACATCTGGATGCGGCCGACCGATAATCGATATGTGCGGCCATTCTTGCCGTGTGTTGCCCACACGCCACTCTGAAATCAAGATTTTTCGGCTAATTTGGCCTCTAATGCCTTTCCGACCCATTTGAGAACGCTACGAAAGTGGAAAAGTTGTTGCACACGAAGGGGATATTAATTTATAATGCTTACATTGAACTTTGTATTGTCTGTTTTATGTTTTTGTTACATTTGTGATTGAGACAAGCATCATTAACTCTTACTATCAGAAGTTTTTATTACTCTATGATCAACGAAAGTAATATGTAGCAGTCTCTATTTTCCTTTTTGTCTCTTTACGGGATAAATTAAATCTATATATATACATATATATACTGTTAAATTTGTAGATCAAATCGAATTCAAAAAACTTTGTAAATCCACACAATAAAACAAAATTTTTTTTAAATATCTTGTAATAAACTAATAAATAACTTTTAATCAAACTCTTTACTTATACCTATATAAATATAGTTTAAGTACAAAAGTGAAAAATTTACTTTTAACAAAATGAGAGAGATTGGCATTGACTCGTTGGCACAGTTTTTATACTTTTAATATTAACTTTTTATACAAATATAAGAATCTTTTTACGACCGTACAATTGATAAATAATAATAATAAGAAGAAAGGAAGCACGAAGCAAAGCCATTAAATTAACGGTCAAAGCTAGATCACAATGCTTATTATAATATGTGAATTTATATACTGCGTATGTAGTTCACTCAATCGCGTGCCGAAAATTTTTTCAGACTTACAACGCAACTCTAAACGACTACCGCGATAATATCACTTTAGTTAAATTAACAAGCAATCTAACAATTTTTGATGCTTATAGCATCTTATTGCATCTTAATAATATGTTGAAAGACATATATTAAAATTTTAACGAATATTAAAGCAATGATAAATCTAAAATTTTCGGTACGCGATTGAGTGAACTACATACGCAGTATATAAATTCACACATTATAATAAGCATTGTGATCTAGCTTTGACTGTTAATGGCTTTGCTTCGTGCTTCCTTTCTTCTTATTATTAACTTTTTATGATATTTGATATAGCATAAAAATGAAACATGTACACACACAAGTCACGTTATGCTAACTTTATCGAAATGAAAATTGATTCTTTTTGTTTGGATGACACATAAGAAAATTGCATAATATGCAGAACGCATCGATAGAAAAAAATTACCTGATTGAATATAAAACCATTAATTAAAAATTTTTTGTAAAATTAAAAAAGATGTTTGTTATTATAATCAAGGAAATTAACAAATGAATGCATGTCTCTTAACCGCATACATTGATACTAAAACATTTGTCCTACTAATAACAATTTGCTGAAACCTCAGGAGGATACCAGTCTCTCCTATTTTATCCCTCGTATGCTCTTTTATACTCGTCGAGTGCTCTTCCAGACACTTTCGTTCGAGCGTAAAACACGCTGCATCTGTAATTTCCGTGCAGGAACTCCGCAATTCTACCAGGCCGTATCTTTCACCGATCCATGTGTCTTCCTCTTCGTCCTCCATGTCCGTTGCTTTTTCCTTCGTCTTCTCTCTTCTTAACTTCGCGTCGTTCATACGTTCGGAAAACTCGTCTGAGAGTATATGCTCTCTTATTCTACTTATCGCAAAAACGAATCGTTCACGGAAAAAGAAAATAATGGACAACAGCGACGAACCAGTCGGGATCGTGTGCATGAAATACGCAGGTACGTCACGCACGTACCGTTGTCTGTAAATCAGTCGCGAGTGCTTGGGTTCTCGCGAAATATTTAACGACGACTCCTATCCTCGTTCCGCAGTTGCGCCAACCCTTCAGCCTCCCTGCTGAATTTATTGCGTAATTTCAAAACGGTTCGGCGTTTTCGTGCCGACCTGTGACTCGTCGCGGATTGCGCGGTTTCCACAAACGCAAACAATAAATTAAAAGTTGCGGCATAATGTTCTCAAACTACCCCTTATTCGATCTATAATCCTAAATGAAGGGTTATTATGACATAATAACAGATGAAAGTGTAGAGAGTCTTTTTGCTGCATAACAGAAACGAGTTGGAAAATGCATAAAGAGAAAGATGCATCTAATTATCCTAATAATCAAATCACATTCGCATAATTATGGCAATTATATTGTTATTATTATAACATAATTGGTAAAAAAAATAATTTGGTATTAGTAAAATCATTATATCAATGAATTTATTTACGACTTTTAGTTGAAATATATGATATTATATTGAAAATATCTTAATTTATTGTTTGAATGTTGATAATTCGTTGATTTTTAAAGAATATTATTGTAATTAAATCTAAATGTGCTTACTTCAAACATGAAGGTATCGATTTCTTCTCTGATATCAGAATCGTTCATCTCGTTATTATGAGCTGCTGTTATCAGAAGATCTAACATAGCGAGTCATTTTTTTTAAATTTAAGTACGTGGATAAAATAGAATAAATATTGAAAGTATTAATTTGATAATATAGATATAGAACGTTATATATATATACTATATATACATATATATACTCCTTACTATTTCTTTATCATCTATTTTTGTTACATTTGTATTATTTACTGAAACCTTCAAATATCGCCCATTAGTACTTTCATGATATTGTTTACTCTCATCTCTCTTTCTGCAATAATTTACAACATATTTCTTTACTTTACACTATTATACTAAACGTATTACTATAAATTACTATTACATTAGATTTTTAAATAAATTGTATTAGATTAATCAGAATTTTATTTTATAGTATAAATAAATATTTTTACACACAATTTCAAATAATAAGGTTTTATTTACTTTTTCGATAAATTTATGCAATGTTTTTAAATTTTTAGCATACTATCTACCCATTAATGTAAATATCACATCAGGATGAAACAACGATCGCATTATCCTGAATGTAATTATAAAAAATATGTATTAACTCTCTAGGATCGGTATCGTCTTTACATTCATTAAAGAAACAATTTCTCTTAACTATTTTTGTTTAAAAATGACTTATAAGTAAAAAAATTTATTGATTTATATTTATATATTAAATATATTGATTTATATTTATATATTAAATAAGTTAAATATATATGTACCCACAAATAAATAAATTTTTTTAATATATATTATATAACATAAATTAATCTTATTATCTTTTATTTATGTACGTAAAAGTAAATTTATAATTTTTTCTGTTATAATATACGTGTACAATTATCGTTTGACGATGACGAGTATACGATGCAGTAATTCTTTTAATTACATTATATTTATTTTATGCTATAAAGTAGCATAAAATGAGTAGATATCATTGCGATAATCTGTTATTTAGCTAATTAATAAATGTTAAAATTTAATAATTATATAAACAACTTTATTTGTTATTAATTAATTTATTTGATACATTCATGAAATAATTCAATGCGTCAATTTATTATAGGTATATATTTAACTATCACTTATAGGTAATATATCGTTATAAATAGATTTGTAGTAGTAACTGTATAAAATTACTGTATCACTTATTTTTTTATGTATTATATTATTACACATAATAATTATACCCATATAAGTAATAATAATATTGAAACAATTATTGTTTGTTGAAGTAATAAGTAACTTAACTTTTTTTAATTTTTTAAACCAATTTTAATAGAAATATTTAATTATTAATTTTATAGAACTTAATTCTTTTAACATACAAAATTTAACTGAATAACCTAACAAAATTGGTATTTATGTAATCACATCAAAGAATTTAAAAATACTATTTCTTTAAAATATAAGATATTTCTAAATAAATGTTGTGCAATACGCACACATTTTTAAAAATAATATTTTAATACAAGGACTCTTAATATAAAAATGACAATTCTGTAATATAAAAGAACTGGTAAGAGTCAAATTAATAGAAATAAGACTCATTTTTAAATAAATTAAGAAGATGTTGGCGAGGTGGCCGAACGGGATCAGCGATCCGGTTAGGATCACTGATTTACTCATTATAAACACACACGTACAATTTATGACACATATCGATGTACGATTATTGACATTTGACATATAACTATACATACTCTGTTACATCAATACTAACTACAATAAGTATACAAACATATTTGACATCCGCATAAATTTTCATAAAGAATTTTTGTATAGAATTAAGATGCCTAATAATAAATTTAATTATAAGAATTCAATGCTGTCTCTTCGCGTAATCTACTAATTTGAAGACTCCAATTTCGTAAGTGCAGATTGCAAAGCTTTTAGGTATATCAAACAAATGTTACGACTTGACAACTTTAGATACTATATTGAAACAAGAAATGATAAAGAAGATCACAATTTTAAAACTTTTTTCTTTTTTGGAATAAACTCTATTTATATCATGCTATTAATATGTATATGTATGTTAATGTTAACAAAGGATTTTCAAATCTGTATAAAAACAATATATACAAAATTTTTGTACGAAAATTATATTTAATTGAGAAAACATACGTTAGCATTGCATTAAATTCTTGTTTATATAAAATAAAATTTATATTTCTATATATATAATAAAAAAAAACGTCCAACACCTTTCCAAACATAAATATTAAAAATTAAAAATTAAATATAACGATTATATCAACACAGTAAATATAAACCATACAAAATATGCTTATAATAATTCCGTGAATTATTTTATTTAACAATTAATTATGTATAAAATTATATGACTTTAGATGAATCAGAAGGTGTACGATCAATTGGGACAAATCGTACACGGATTTTCTGTGTAACACGGCTTATTATATCCGTCATAAATCGAAGATCCTTTAAATAATCGACGGGTTCCAAATAAAAATTATATATCAACGTCGCCATCATAACTTTTAATTCGATCATGGCAAATCGTTGTCCTATTATTCGTAAATACATTAGAAGTCGTTTGTATGAATAGATTAGTATCTTATTACATTTAACATTACCTATGCAATTTCGTGGTCCTGCGCTAAACGGTAAGTAAGAATAAGGATGACGTTTATTAATTTTCTCAGGCAAAAATCTGTCTGGATCGAATACATCTGGATTTGACCAGAAATTTGGATCTCTATGAATATCGAAAATATTTATATGAATAACTGTTCCAGAAGGTACCAAATGTGTTTCTGAAAAAATATCATATAACAAAATAAAATTATGTAACAATAAATTAATAGAAAAGTACACATACACGCGCACGCGTGTGCGAATACTCATTTTATATATAATATAAATTATTTTAATAAAATACAACTTTTTTGCCATACGAGTTATTGATTTTATAAATGGGAAAGTCTATTAGACGTTAAATTTACTATAAAATGTTCAAAATTTGGTAAATTTTATTTTGCTGTATATAAACTTGAGGTAAATCTGCCGAATAGGGAAAACAAGCCGCGATGATCCTGATCTGGACATATATTGTCAAGGTCATGACTCTGAGTAACCATCAACAGGTTTTAGCTGTAGCTCGTTATTTATTAAAAAGTCATTAACAAAAAGATCCTGTTATATAAAACAAAAATTTAGTGCTTTAAAATCAAAAAATATTCAATAATTGTTTATTATACGGGATCTAGGCTCAATGACCTTGATCTTAATATTATACGTTGCCAAGGTTATAACTTTGAGTGATCTTTATAAGAGATATATGTATATAAGAGAAGTTTTGAACACACAACCGTATTCCGATGAAAAAAAAATTAATCTAACCTAATTCAATCCATTTTTTTATGACTCGCTACGCGTATAGAAAGTAATTCATGTTGAGTATTATTTCGTGAATTGGTTAAGTTTTTCGGTAGAGAGCCGTTAACCATAGAGGGCGAAATCCATTGCATCCATGCATACACTTTACAACACAAAATTAGATTCTACATGAGTTTATAACTTTTATTATAGTAGAAAAGATACATTAATTTTTCAACTTTTTGTTAATAAGTTTTTAATGAATATCGAGTGATAAAATTTGTTGAAGATTACTCAGGGTCAACATATATCAAGGTCATCGGGGCCGCTTTCCCCGAAAAAGAAAGGGAAAAAAAAGAACTTATAAGTAATTATTTACAAAATTTATGTATAAATTAATATATATTAAAATGTTAGAAAATCGGGGAGAAAATTGTTTTTGCGTATAATAATTAGCTCATAATTTTATGCCGAAATATACATATACATATAATACATATATACGTATAGTTCATTACTCACGTGTTTTTACATCTTCTGATAAAACTCGTGATATGAAAGGAACGCTAGGATATAATCTTAACGATTCTTTCAAACATCTTTCTAAATATGGCATATTACTTAACGCTGATAAGGTAAGCTTTCCTCCATTTTCTTCCATGATTGCACTAATTTCACTTCTAGCACGTTCCTATTACAAAATAAAGTTCCCTATGTTTAGTGATCTATACTTCTTTCATTAATTAAAAATATAGCAGTATTTATATTTTCATGTGTAAGTATATAATAACTCCTTTTTGAGTTATATACATATAAAAGCAAAAATATATTTTTATACTTACTTTTAAATTAATATTTTTAACGTTTTAAAAATTACTTGGTATAAATAAAGATTGGTTAAATTAATCAATTGTATTACGATTGAATAAATAATCATAAAAATACCTGAACATCTTTGTGCTCAGCTATCACTAATATTGCATAAGTTAGACCCATTGCTACGGTATCATGTCCCTGTAATAAGAAAACTTGTTTAAATACATTTTCCGTTACACATGCAAGCTATGTATAATTCATCATTAAGAAAATAAGAAAAAAAATTTTTTTAATTAATTTTTGCTTACTATTTCTGGCCACAAAAATCGAATAGTAATTGAAGTAATAAAGTAAACAGTATTAATTCCAACTATATTAACTAATAAAATATTTCTACAAGAACTGAAATTATCTCGTAAAGTAATAATCGAAATAAGTCGTAAGAATTGTAAGAGTTCTTATAAACCATTAGTCATAGCGCTTTAAATGGTAATAACTTTTGATAGAGCTGTTGGGATGCCAGAACTGTCAACAGAACTATAACGTTCAAAAAAAATTTTTTTTTAATCTTCAAAAAAAGAACTTGAGTAGAATTGTGCCTTTATTACACCCATTTTTTCAATTATTCTAAGAATTTCTTTTCTTACGATTGATAATTCGAACATTGATAATGATTTCTATAAAATATCAATTAAATATAAACTTACTTCGAATACAAAAGTATCTACTTCTTCTCTGACATCTACATCATTTATTTTGTTATCACGAGCTGCCGCTATCAAAAGATCCAGCATAGCGAGTCGCTTTCTCTTAACTTAAATAGATAAAATATTTTAAGTAGTAACAAATGTAGTAAAAAATTGAAATTTGCATATTCTATGCATATATACTTCCTATTATTTCTTCATCGTCTATTTCTGTATCATCAAAATTTTTCAAGTATCGTCCACCAGTCCTTTCATGATATTGTTTTCTTTCCGCAATAATCTACAAAAACATATAAAACAATACATATATATCTTTACTATTTATACTATACTATTTATATTGCTAAAACCTAATTGTGCTAACTAACATTGCTAATATTATATACTGAAAACACTTTGGTAAATATGCATTTTAGGTGACACCTCACCGATTTAAATTCCTTTAGATATGTTGTAGAGAAGAGTGTTCTGAGTGTCCTGCAAAAATTAAGTATAGAACGGCATTGATTTAAGAGATAATATGTATTGTAAATTAAAGTTTTATAATATGTAGAAGATAATATTAGTATAAGAGATATAAAACGAATAGTGAAGTTTGTATATACTGTACTACTTTCTTAAAGAATATAAACAGAGTCAGAAAGTCATTGTAATGAAAGAATATAATAAACATTTCTATAATACAAATCTTTATATAAATCTTATTATCACATTTTAAACGAAGTTCATCCCACTCTCTACAAAGGAGCTCACGACTTCCACGCGAAGCGAGGACCACTCCACATCAAAAACTAGGTTGGGTTAGTTTATTTTTTTTTATTATCCACTACTGAACCTACCGCATTCACGTAAAGCGACTCTTATCTCACCTGTCCCCCTACGAAGGGGCTCACAACTTCCATGTTTATATTGTAAAATGTGTACGTGAATACAGTAAGTTCCGCCCTTCCTGCAGGCGGGCTCCACTATTTAAAAATAATAACCTAATTCAATCCATTTTTGGTATGAGGTAGCTTTCGCTTCGCGTGGAAAGTCGAAATTCACGTGCAACAGTTCACTTATGAATGTTATCATATCTCCTAAATCTATGCCCTACTTAATTTTTGCAGGAAATTACTCAAGACATTCTCGTCTACAACATATCTAAAGAATATTAAATTGGTGAGGTGCCACCTAAAATGCATATTTACCATCACTTTAAATTTACTATTCTTTATTTTTAGGAAAAGATTTTCATAAATATAAACACAATTTTTACTTACTTTTTCAGTGAAACCGTGTAATATTTTTAAATTTTTATAAAATTTTTTACCCATTGGTGTCAATGAAAATATCAAATTGGAAGCTAACCATGGTTTCATTATTCTGTAATATGTATAATAATAAATTTTTTTTTTTAACAAATATGAATTTATATGGCTTTATATAATAAGGTATGTAATTTTTATCAATTACAATAATTTAGTTCTCTTTTTAATATTTGGTTGGCAAATAATCGTACAGTTTTTTTGAAATGGAATAAAAGACAATCTTTTTAAACAGAAAATAAATTTTAATCAATTATATGATTTGGTGATGCAGCAAAGTTGTAGTTTTAAGAATTGGTTTTTTAGTCATGGTATAGTAATTTTTAATGAAATTATGAGTAATTAAAATCAAAATGCTCTTTTATTGTATATAATCCGCAAGTAATTCGGTGACAAAAAATCATAGAAGCATTTTTTCTTAAATGGTCGAAAATTTTTGCAAATTTTTGGGCACATAATAAGCCTACAAAGTAAGAAGAAAATTTTTCTTTTCTTTTTAGCTCGTACTTTTTACATGTAAAAATTTTACATATAAAAAAAAAATAGTAACCCTTCCCCCCCTTTTAAACCTCACATAACCTCAAAAAGTATATAGTAACTTTTTTAAATGAATATTTCAAGCTTAAAAACTCTTTCTTTAAAAAGCCTCGGTAGTCTAATTGGCTAGGATACTTGCGCGTAAAGCAAAATCCGGGTTCGACTCCAGGCCGAGGTAATATTTTTTGCAATAAGAAGAATATTTCCAGATTTAGTATTTTCAAATTTTAGTATAGTTTAACAATATAAGATGCTAAAAGAGCATCAATTAATTATTAATTTGTTTTAATTTGTGATAGTATCGCGGCAGTTTATTAGATTTGCGTTTCAAGATCGACGATTGTTCGGCGCGCAATTTGGGGAGACTATGTATATTAGTATATAAATTCACGCGAAATTATACCTATATTAGCAATTAAAGATCCAAGCTAGATTGTTTATAGGCTTTGTATTCGTATTAGTTGTTCTTACACTAATGGTCTTTAGTATTGAATATTGTTCTTTCTTTAAATTTAAATTTTGTTTAATTTTAACGAAAATATTGTATACCTATACAATTTTAAGCTAACAAAACCGAACGAACTTATTTTCCAACCTAATATTAAAAATAGTCATATATACAGTACGTATGTATATCCATTCAAAACTGAAAACTTTGTAAATTACCTATAAATTAAAATATTTCCTATATTATGAATTGCCTGACGATATTGCTCTTGACATTCATCCATTTCTTGTAAGGATGTACCCATAGCGGTTTCTACAAATATATTTATTAACATATAATAAATATTTATTTTATTAAGTCTGTTATTAAAATTCTAACAATTCGATACAATAAAAAATTATTTTTTATTGTAAGCTATATTTTTAAACCTTTTTAATAATATGA